AAAAACATAATATTTTACTGATGTTATATCAATTAAATAATGAAAATTAATTGAAGTTACATACGTCTTCCCTTTATTGCAAATTTAAATTTTACAGATTTTCCAATTAGTGTACTTACCATGTCAACAGATCATCAAATATATACTAAATCAAATTTTAGCACAGTTTGATTTATATATAAATTCCATATCTCTATCATATGATATATCTAATTAATTACACTAAGAATTTTTAAACTAATTAATTAAAAGATTATAGCTTATATGTGGAAAACGTACTTTGCATCTTGTTTAGTATTATATTATAAGCATATAAGATGAATATAAAAATAATTATATTCCTATTTGTAAAATTTATACATAGAAAAATTTTGAATTAAAATAATTTAAATATTAATTACAAAATTTTATATTATTATCTCAATAAGAAACATTATTTGAAAACAGTAATGGAAAAACGTAAAATATTTTACTACTTTTCATACAATTGATAGTCTTAAAAAAAAAAAACGAAAATTGTCCGCCTTATCTTAAAAATTTAATTGTTAACTTCTCTTGAAGTTGTACAATTTAATATGAATAAAATCGAAGTTTTCCAAATATGTTTGTATGAAAAGACATATTGAAATTACAACCTGAAATTATTATTTCATTGCATTATCATCGGGATATATTTAAAAAGTTTACTGATAAATATCACTTTTTACTAAGAATAAGAAAATTATAATTATATACTTAAGAATATATAGTTTTGTAAAAAAAATTGTTTTGAGCAATTGTATATTAGTTGTCTCCTAAAAACGGGGACCTTTAATAAGGTTGTAATTTATATAAACAAACATTTTTAAAACAGTAGGAAATTTAGTTAGCTACGCAAGTAAAAATATTCAATAAATTAAAACAGAAAATAATTTGGTGAATAACCATGTAATAAAAGAAATAAAAATATAATTTTGAGTTGACACAAACTAGCACGTGAAAACAAAAAGCTTTCTATTTTTAGGAATATTAGAAAAATAAGCGGAAGATAAAAATGGATATTTAAGCTTGTTTAAATTTTCAAATTAATTTTTCTTTGTTTGGTATGAAGGTATTGGTAAAAAATTCAAAATAAAATTACATCATTTTTATAGTTATCTATTTCATATCTCTGATTGACAATACTGCGCTCTGTGCACAGTTGTCAAACTGGATTATTTTATATTATGACTCCAAAATACAGTTAAGTAAATCGTGTGTTCAACATTATTTTAGATATTAATTTTATAATATTTTATTGTTAAAAAATATGGATTCAATGTGTAACAATATAAATATAGTATGGCTTATATCTTATCGAAAATTTTCCAAAAAATTATAAAGAATGAAGAAAAAACTTTTAGGTCCCAGCGTAACGTCAGAACGTTCAGATCGTCAACGTTCTGAACCAACTGAAGCTGCACGCGCAGAGAGCTACGTGCGTCAGTTTATGATGTTTAGGGACTGGATATTGTAACTTATGTACAGTTTTTAAGATATGCTGATACGCGGTAATATTCAAGTCTCCCCTATAGCTAGACAAGATAAATGTCTATAATACAGAGCTGACATAATAAAATTGATCAACCAATAGTTATAGTAAATGAATCATATCAAATAATTTAAATTAAAAATAGAATAAAAACTTATTTCCTTTAAAAAATTTATGGGAACCATATGAGTCTGTTTTATAATTTCCAAATAAAAAAATATCATTAAGGCCAAAAAAAGTACTGTTGAACTAGTCTATTAAATATATAATTCTAAAATTTACCAAAAGATTTCGAGTAAAAATCATTTACCTTTGTTAATTAAAGAATATTATGTTTTTATTAAACAAATTATTAAAAACACTTAATTTATAAGACAGTTTAAATCTTATATTTTCTACAAGCCAATCAGTAAAAAGTATAAAACTGGATAAATAGTGATTATTTTCTATTTTGTCGTAATATTTTATAGTAAATATTAGAGATCTTAATAAATATATTAAATTTTATTATTTTTCAGATTATTTAGATAACTAGTTGCCCTATTTTTCCTCATAGGTTTCTCAGAGAATTTTTTTTATCATGCAACACCTATAAAATATAATGTCGGCGCCACTATGTATCACCAGTTTTGCACTGTGATATCTCTCAAATTTAACACCTTGGTATACATGAAAGTACATCGCATTTTTTTATTATTATAATCATCTATTTAGACATTATATCAATCATAATGTCTAAATGTATCCAATGCTTTATCTATACAAAAAAACACTTGTAAAAACTAAGAGTCATTTGATACAGTGCTTATTTTAAAAGAATTAGTTAAAAATTTTAATTACAACTAAAATTATTAATTGACTAATGAAATACTATCTGTTAAATTTTAAAGTATAACTATATTATGTTTCAAAAAATACTTCAATTAAAAGATTATACCACAATATGTCATAACAATTGATATCTCTTTTAAAAACTTATAGATTAGTTAAAAGTTACACTTAAGAACAAAAAAAGTTAATTCATCATTTTGTTTGTAACTTAAAAAGCGAAAAATTGAATCGGTAACTTATAATTTCACATATTTCTAAATAATTGGTACTTTTCATACTATTATAAACAAGCGTGAAGTAACGTCAAAAAAATATATAATGACATAGTAAGTTCAATTTTTACTTAATTGCAATTTAAGACTTTTAATAGATCTTATGGCTTAAGAAAATAATTCCACAATTGTATTTATATTTTTAAATTTTCGTACAAACAATTTTTTTTATACGTAATTAACAGATTAAATTACAAAAGTGAATGAAACAATTGTAATATATTAATTTAATACAATTTATTTTTTATCATGAAACATTTATTGTTGCAAGATTAAAAAATAATTAAATAACCTTCAATTTGATGTTGAAAAACAAAATCGATTTTATGTATTTACAGCGTATTTTATTCACATTACATTTATATTTGTGTGATAACATAAAGCTATTCCATTGAAAATAGTTTCAATAGTTTTCATATATAGAGTAGTCACTAAGTAAGGAAACGAATCTCTATTTTTTTTATTATTTGTAACAACTGACCTGTTTCCTTACTTACTAAATACTCTGTATAAAAAATTGACTATTACCTTACTTTTAAACATAATGTATAAAAGGTTTTCACTTGTTACAAATTATAATACTACTTATAAATACATTTCCGTTAAATATAAATAATTCAAAAATTAAATTGAACTTAGGGAGACTATGGAAAATTTAAAAATTTATATTCTGTATTAAACCTGCAGTTCATATAATGGAAACTGAGCGAATGGCGCCAACCTAAAGAGAATTCGTAATAAAAGGTTTACCGATAAAAATTAAATATTAATTTATATCTTCACATATCATGTGCTCTATTATGCCTTCATTTTTCCAATGGAATATTAGGAGTATCTCTTCACAGCCTACAAACTTAATAAAAAAAAAGCTAATATTTTATCTAATCATAAATGTTTGTTTGCCTTTATATCCAAAACGTGGCTATTGTCCAATCGCCAATTTTCTCTTCCTCATATTATACCTCAAGGTGGTATAATTAGCTTGGACACTCTTCTATTAATCTTGAACTGTCTATGGACTAATTACCTTATACCATCCACCTGGAGAAATATACATGTCATTCCTATCATTAAACCTAATACATGCTAGCCTGCTTTTCGACCTATTACCCTGCAAGGGGGCTTTTTATGTCGGCCTATAACAACAACATGGTTTGCCACTTGAATAACAATTAGCTATAGTAGAAAGGATCAACATCACCTAAGCGAGTAGTCACACCTATCAGATATGATTACCGGACCATAGGTGAAATTTAATTTTAAGTTAGTTAAAAGTATAATCTAAGTTAATATGTCGTTATATGTAAAACATACCGTAGGCCGTGTCTAGATTAAGGAACATGGATAAAATACACGCGAGTAATTAAGTTACTCGCGCAATAAAATAAATATTACAGTTAAAATTAATAAGGAAATTTAATTTAATTGTTAAAAAAGAAAATTAAGTTAAACATGTACAAATTACGAATGTATCAAAAATCATGTATTCAAATAAAGGCAACAAAAATAAAATTAAATATTTAAATAAAAAAAACAAATAATATTACAAATATCACGGAAAGTATTGAAACACATCCATTAACGTTAATCGGAAATTAATGAAAAAACTCTTCCTCTTCTCTATATAAAATAGAAGAATTTATAAAAAAAATTGTTTAAATTGGTCTCATCATTATTTAATGAAAAATTAGGAGTAGTATGCTTAAAAAATCACTTTCTATATATTTTTAATGAAGTATTTAATATATGAATGAAATGAAAAATTAATTATAATGAAAATTTTTTATGAATTTCTATCATTGTGCCTATCGCAGTTAATACAAAGATTAATACAGTGACAACATGTTCCCAAATTTGTTATTAACACCTCTAATGATTTTTAACTTCGTATTATTCTGTCTGTTTAATAGTCGTATGACTATTATGCATTTATATATTATATAAAAATGTTCAAATGATTCGGTTAAATATTTTCTTTGTATTGTATGATTCAATATAAATTTACTTATACTAACATGGAACTGTTTATAATGAAAAGGATTTAACTAGATTTTTAAAAAAATTATATTGGATCATTTGAAGTTTATAAATGAAACTAGGTAAAGATTAGTTGATTAAAGTGAGGGTGTAGTCGAGCCAGTAACAATGTCATGAACCGTGACAGATTCGAGGTTTGCTCACGAATGTCACTGTTTGCCGAGCAAGGGATCACTTTAGAAATAGAACCGTCACCGTTCTTTTCAGTAACTACCAAATAATCAGTTAAATAGAATTCATGGTTAAAAATTTTCCTCTTTTGAAGAGATCACATGACTTAACGGATCGCTTAAATATTATAAATATTATAAATATAATAATTGTTTTTATAATATATAAATTAACAAAAGTATTGTAGATAACAAGTTTTATTTTCTAGATATAATTTATATTAAGTTTATATGAATTCAAAACCTTCAAATTTCAGATCAGAAACTTTGGTTTCGGGGTAAAGAATTTTTCCATCAATATTAAATGCGGTAATGAAAGTTCCAGTAGTTTCTCCAACCTCTTCGGACTTGATGGCAGCAATTACTTGATCATTTGTATCAGGAACAAACTTAAAACTGGCGTAACCATGAGATGGTACAATTTCTCCAATTTTAACGGACTAAAAAATTAAAAAATTAATTTGTAATATATTTTCTTATGAATTTAAAAATTAAAATACATTTAATAAAATCTGACAGTAGTTAAAATCACTGTTAAAAAAAAAACAGTTTGATTAATTTTTTCTTCGTTAATTAATTATAGTATTAGTTATGATGTTTATATTTTAACTTGTCATAAACTAATGTTAGCTATAATATTTTTATTAGAAAAGGTATCCTCTTCCTATTAATATTTGGATGGACATTAAAAACTGCGAAAATCCACCACGAATTAACTCTCTAATTGGCAGAGATCCTGTGGTACTACAACATTATTTATCCCAATATATATTTGCCTCCTCAATATAAATATTTACAAATTTATTTATTTAAAATTATTGTGAATATATAATAAGTAGGTGAAATTTCGTTGAAGAAACTGAAATACTTAGTTGGGTCTTAAAACTAGTTTTTTACCGTACAAATTTCCGATAGAAGATCTCCTAGAAGACATTAAAATGAAGGTTAAAAGTGTTGATTTTATTAATCAAGACTAAGCAAGAAGGGAGTGTTTAAATTTTCTGCAAAAAAATTCTGTAATTTGTTTAAGTTTGAACTTACTTTAATATCTTTAAAGTCAGCTGTAGCTGAAATAAGGTAGTTGGTCCCTTTTTTTTCATCATCCTTAAAATTGTATTTTTCTGGTGATGCTTTTCTTGGAAGGAAGAAGAATTTTTTGTGAATATCACTCCACACAGCAGCTTCATGAGTCATGTATCCTGGGTATTTAATGCCAGCAGCCGCACGTACTTTAACATAATTATCAGTCCAGTCGACGTGTTTTACTGATCCTTCTGCATTAATTATTTTAATCCACATTCCTGAATAATTTACACCATTTTTAGTATCCAATTCCCTTCCATGAGTTCCTACGTAAAGTTTCGAGTCTTTAACAGTAGCCCATTCATTTTTAAAGCCTAAATCAAAATCGTTTCAAAATTAAGTTCAACAAAATTTAACTCGTTAAAAATTCAATTTCCTTTTTCCTTTATAAAAAAAAGTAGCATTTTCTATATTTCTATTCTTACCAGATACACTACGTCCGTTTCCTTCGTTAACTATTACCCAAGGAATCAATGTATTTTCATTTTCAACGACATAGATAATTCCAGTTTTGTCATCAATCGTTAACAATTTACCATCAAATGTAACCAATTCCGATAACTCCAATCCACGATCTTTAATGGCAAAGTTTGATGTAAATCTGCTATCATCTCCTTTATCCCATTTGAATTCGACTTTTTGTCCAGCTTTCTTGAATTTTAAGTATCCTTTTTTTAAATAACTGATCCAGGTTAGAGCTTCTTTCGAGCTTTTAGAGTCTGAATCTAAATCAGCGATTAAAGCAATACGGTATTCGATGGAACCATCAGCTCCTTTAATAGGAGAAGTCAGTGGATAAGTTGTGTTGATTTCTTCTATTCGATTACAAATAGAACTTGGTTTTTCAACTTTGGTTGGTGCACCAAGTATCGTTTGAATGGAAATAACAACTAAAAGCAGTATGCCTAATAACCTAGTCATCTATATTAAAAACATTTTAATTAATTAAAATACAGCAATATGATATAAAGTTATTCATGTATAATTATTATAGTTTTACTTATATACATAATATACTAAAAACAAATTATAAAAATTTTGAATTTTAATAATTTAAATGTAAAATTTTGAAAATTATGAATTTTCTTTTATCAATTCAAATTAGCGAATTGAGAAAACCTCTTATTAAAATTACATTAAGATAATTTTATTTGTGTACTTTAAATTCCCCGAAGAAACTCTTTATTGTGTCAAATGAGAACTAAATAAAATATAATGAAATCTGCTTTATATAGAAAAATCATATAATAACTTATCGTTTTATAAAATATTATTTAAAATAATATTATAACTATTTTACTATCATATATGAAATATATAATTATTATGTATAATAATTATAATAACCCAGTTATTAAATGAAATCCAATAATTATTTATTTATTTTGTATTAAAAATAGCTATATAGATAATAGTTAATAATTGAAAATGTACTTTGCATTATCAACGTTTTTAATATATCAACAAAGTTTTGTTTTTAATCTGCATATCATATTTATTTTCTTAATTGGTTATTTAGATACTTCATGTTGCAAAATTTGTTTTTCTCATTTGAAAAATTAACGATTCTTGTATCCAAAAACTAATAAGTCACAAAAACGTCATTTGGCGTAGGATGCTATTAAAATTTTTAATGTGATTTGGCTATCCAGAAAAATTTATTAAATGAATATTAATTTTTGGGTTTTGGCTACAGAATGTATACTTAAATTATGATTAAATCGATATGATTTTTCAGATTTCCAAAAAAAAATTTTTTTCGCTTGNATATTTCATATTGGAAATACAAAAAATGAAAGTACAGGGCGATCCGCAAACTATATCTCATGCAATGTTCTCAAAGTATAAGATAAACAACATTTTTTAGCTTCGATGGGAAGCTGAGAAGGTATTAATTTTACAATGATGTGTTTTTTTTGTATCTGTTAACACTTTTTCTCAGCTCTCACCGAACGGATTTCTTTCAACGATACGTCAAAATATCACAAATCGTATCTAGTCAAAGACATTACCATCAAAAATTGAAAAAAAAATCCCCTAGTTCCCCGTATATAGAGGAAATCTCCAAAAAAATTACAAATTTAAAAATCGCTAATTTTTGACATTTTTTCAATTTTTTTTACTTAAAACTGCCATAACTTTTTAAAAAATAAATTAATTAATCCAATTTTCTTATAAATAGATATAGTAGGTATTTACCTATCATTTAGTACATATTTTTTATAAATCTGACCCTTTATCTGCCCACAGGGGGGATTCAAAATGACAACTTTTTCACAAAAAATTAATGTCTTCAACATAACTTTTAAAAGTGTTTCAGAAATACGGACACTTTTATATATATTTTAAATTAAAATTTAAATAATGTATTTTAAATGGAAAAAAGAAATTTTGAACTTATTTTGTCTTCATAGTGAAAATGGGTACCGTAGCCAAAAATATGCTATTTTTGTGTTAAAATTCTCGGTTTTGTATTTTATTTTATTTAAAAATATCTTACAAAAGTTTTTGTATTAGAAAAAAAAATGTAACTCATTTGATTTTTATCTTATTTAGATTCAATAACTTCAATGAATACCCATCACTGTATTCTCCCCTTGTTTGAAGAAATTTCTTATTCATATTAAAATTATTTTACAATGTGTTTTTTTTTTTTGTGTGTCACTCATTTATTTTCTCAACCCTCACTTGACCAACATTTCTTAACAATACATTAAATGATCACAACTATAAACTAGTTAAAGATATTACCCTCAAAAATTGAAAAATATCCCTTTTATCAAATAAAAAGTTGCTTAACTAGCTTTCTCCATACAGACAATTAAAATCATTCACTTTTAATATTTTTAAAGTATTTATCGTCGAATTAGGTTTGATACAATAAAAGTTATCAACTACAAAATTAAATAGTTTTTCTTTGTAATTAATTAATTTTTTAACTCTATTTGTATGTGTTACTACCAGTCTATAATATTCCAAATATATTGGTAACGTGTTACTATGTAAATCATTTCGAAAATAAAAATGATGTTTAGTTTCACAATTTAACAATGAATTTTTACAATTATAATCAAATTTTATAATACGCTCAATAGGTTGATTTAGAAAAGTGTATATTTGATTCCGATGAAAGTTCCTTGTAGACGAATGTATTTATTCATAAGTAAACAAAAATATTATAGTTTTCAAATACAAAGTTGAATAATTTTGCTTTGTTGTTTATTCATATTTTTGCTCTATTCTACTACCATCCTATAATAATGCAATTTTTTTTTAAAGTTTAATGTGTAAATAATTTCTAAAAAAATAGTTTTGAGTTACACCTGAATTTAACAATAAATTTTTAACAATTATAATCAATTTTACTATACGTTCAGATGAGTAGATTTGTTTAAGAACTATTTTATTGTTTTTTTTTAAATTCGATTCAAAACTAAAAGTATATTGGTTTTACGATGCTGTATGTTCTTTTTCCATATTTGCCCAATTCATAGCCCACTCTGAAATAATTTTAATGATCCTAAAGAAATAAGTTAAATATGACATTTTAAAACTCAATTTTGCATGATTTATTTTTAACATATTAAAAATCAATAATAACTTTTCAAGGATTTTTTTTTGTTTTTAATTATTTTTTTTATGTGTACATACTTGCATTCTACTCAGTAAGAATCTCAAAAATGAGGAGATAGAAAAAATCAAATTTCGATTTGAAATCAGCGTAAAATTTTTGTTTAGTTAAGTATATATATTATTAAAAAATGTTTCATTTTAGTGAAATGATTTTACTGTGTAATTCAATTTAAAAACGAATTTTATACCCCTATTATTTCTTGAGATATTTAATTAAAAAAAGTTTTTTGAAGATGCCGTTTTTTAGAATATTACAATTTTGAGAAATTTATTTGATTTATAAAATTAAGAGTTTCTAATATTCGGTGACTATAAGTTCAACTAAATTAAAATTCAATTTTTTGATGTATTGATCATCAAAATTGTTTCAATGAGGGCTGAGAATTTTTATGTAAAAACATAAAAAATGAGCACACAGCATCGCAAAATCAATATCCTTTTAGTTTTGAATCGAATTTAAAAAAAAAGAAGTTCTTCAAAAAATCTACTCAGTTGAGCGTATAGTAAAATTGATTATAATTCTTAAAAATCTATTGTTAAATTCAGGTGAAACCGAAAACATTGTTTTAGATATTATTTATACAGTAACATGTTAAAAAGAACCAGCACAGTGGAGTCGCGGAACAATGGGGACGTGGCATAGTTGGGTCAAGTATAATGTATGTCAAGTACATCTGACAGTGATTAAAATCACTATCACAAAAACGCTTCGATGCAAATCTGTAGATAATGTTTAATTTTACAAAATTGGTGGATAATTTCAAAAGCTACATAATCTTTTATTTCCTTATTTATATCCTAATTACAAGTTTTATAATATATAAGTGTAATATATGAATATATATAAAGGGAAATGATTTTATTTAAAAAAAAAGTATGTCGAATGAAAGAAGTATATAAATATTATTTGTCATAAAAAATTTTTATTAATCCATACATTTTTCAAAAAGTTATAATTTTATAAAGTTAAAAATATAAAATTTTAACACAAAAATAGCATATGTTAGCCATTTTAATCGTGAAGACAAAATAAAGATAAACATTTTTTTTTTTTATAATACAGTATATTGCATAAGCTTTAATTTAAGATATATATAAAAGTGTCAGTATTTCCGAAACACTTTTAATAGATATGTTGAAAAAGTTAATTTTTTGTGAAAAAGTTGTTATTTTAAATCCTCCCCTGTGGGCAAGTAAAGGGTCAAATTTATAAAAAAAATATATCAAATGATATGGAAAGATATCATGCATATATTTAAAAAAAATTATATTGATTCATATATTTTTCAAAGAATTATGGCAATTTTAAGTAAACAATTTGAAAAACTGTCGAAAATTAGCGATTTTTAAATTTGTAATTTTTTTTGAGATTTCCTCCATATACGGGGGAACTAGGGAATTTTTTTTTCAATTTTTGTTGGTAATGTCTTTAACTAGATACGATTTGCGATCGTTTAACATATTGTCAAAAGAAATCGATTCGGTGAGAGCTAAGAAAATGTGGTAACAGGCACAAAATAGAAAAAAAACATACTATAGAAAAATTAATACCTTCTCAGCTTCGCATCGAAAAATACCTGATTTAATCTTAAGCAAAAAAAGTTACTTAAATTTAAGGACTTAAAGTAACTAGATAATATATTAACTTAAAAAATTCTTCTATATGCAATCTATATTTTAAAGTAGTGAATTTTTAAGTGTTTCGATATTCACAATTTGTTGAGCCTTGTTTTACTTTCACTAATTTCTACAGTTGAAATTACATAATACCAATTTAAGACGCTATAATTTTTAATGAAATTAAAAGTATAATAAAATAATACAAGACCTCATTAAAATTTTAGACATAAAGCTCTTAAATAATATTATAAGATATATATTATTATCTTACTAGTATAGATAAATTAGAGATTTAAGACATAATTTCAAAAATCTTATTGGTATAATTCAAAATGTTTTTTAGTATAAACGAATTATATATTATCATTATTGAATAAATAAAATATTAAAGTTTACATTTAAAAATGTGTTAATTAACTTAATAGAATCAACGATAACCATAAGCTATAATAGATAAATGTATATACAAATACATTATGTAATTTATATATATATACGTATAAAGTTAGCTACTTGGCTTCTTTTAAAATAATAATTGTGTTAAGAAAAATGATCTAATTAAGAAAATTAAAAACAACTTTTGACCTATTATTTCGGATTTATTATCATTTTAAAATATATACTTAAGGAAGGTGCGTGTATTATATTATTTATCATTAGACATTTCTCGTCCACACTTTTCCTCCAGCCTAAGTATGAAAATTTAAAATACTGGTCTAAAAGTTGTTATTAACGAGTTCTTTTCTTAATTAAATATTTTTTTTATTTTATAAAATAATTATTAGATAATACATCTTTATAAAGTATAAGGGTTGAATTAAAAATCCATTAAAAATTAACAAATTTAAAAATATAAGTAAATCAAAAATAACAAAAATTCTTAACATAATTAATATTTTAAAAGAAATATAGAAGATAATATTAAAAGAATCACCCTGTAAATACATACACATTTAGTCGTAAACATTAAATCAATTGTATTTGTATAAAATCTAATTTCATAATTAGAAAAACACAAAATATAA